ACTAGATAATATAAGTATTTTCTGTTCTGCTGGATACTGTTTTGTTTGAAAAAAAAATAGGGCTTGTACTTTAAATTATGTGTTCTGTCCAGATCTCCCTCTGATCTCTCCTAATTTGTTGATCAAGAGTGTAGCATCTTGACTAATAAGTGAAATAGTTTTGCTCCCCTGGGTCCTTTATTTTCTTTCGAAAGTGCAAGAGAGCTGCCAAGCAGCTGCAATTCTGTTGCATTCTAGTGTGGAGTTAAATAGCCTTAGAAGGAGGTGACAATATTTTTTTAGAAATGCTTTATAGAAGGATCCATCTAACCCAGGGGTCAGGGAACTTTTTTACCTTTTACCCCCCAAAAATCTTATGTATGCCACCATTGCCCCCTTGCTTTGAAAGGAAGGAAATCATATATTATTTGAATTCAAAATCTTATTGAATCTTTTCAAAATTACTTTGATAGCTTCAACCAGCTGGGTGCCGAAGAGGGAAAGTCGAGGCAGGTACCCTCTTGATGCTGTGGTTGAAGCTAATTCATGAGAAGTTCTTAAAGGTGGCTTTATTGGGCTGTTGAGGGGCAGCCGCATGAGATGAGGAGGGAGATAGGGATGGGAAACACAGTGTTTGTCTGGGGAAATGGGGGAGAATTCCACCTACTTTAGCTCACTTTCTCTCTTCTGCAAGAAATGGGGACTGAAGCAATTGAAGCCTCCTTTCCCCTCTCATCCCCAACCCGCCAAATGACTTCCTCAGGGGCCTTGGGGACAGCAAAAAGGAAAAAGGCTGGGAAAGCAGAGTGGCAGGGGACATGGCTTTACATTTTCTCAGCCATTTGGGCTTTTCCCTGAAGGGGGGGAGTTGCCTGCTACCTGTGAATAGTGCCTCCAGGCTTGTAAAGGCAAAGGAGAAGGAAGAGGCAGGAAAGCTGGGCTTCCCCCCCTACACCTGCCGCCGCCTCCTTTCCAAATTCTTCTTGGTGCTGCCACGTGGACATGCACCCTCGCCGTCCCCAACCCCACCTCCCCAGCAGCCCGCGTGCTTTAAGGTGAGGGCGAAGGGGAAGCACAGCCTGATGGAGCGCAGGAGGAGCTGGGAGGAGAGGACTTTGGGTGCCAACGGCCAAAGACTCTTCCCAGTACTCGCTGTCTTGTTCTTTTCGGCTGCTGTTGCTTGATGCAGTGCAACGAGGGACAGCTATGAGGAATCGCCTCTAGCCAAGACCTTCCCCTGTGGATGTTTGTCCCTCCTTCGGACCTGCTCTGAAGAGAAAAGGGAGCGGAGGTGGTGTGGCGGGGCAAGGGTAGTACAGTGGTACCTTGCACAACGATGTTAATTGGTTCCAAAAAAAAAAACGTTCTGTGAAAACATCGTTCTGTGAAACACCATTTCCCATACCCATGCATTGAAAACCGGATAATCCGTTCCAATTGGAACGGATTGCTGTCCTTAAGCGAAAATCCCCAAAGCCAGACAGACCCAAATTCCCCCTTGCAAAAATCATCAGAGTTTTGCAATACAGTACAGTACAGATACACTGTAAAACCCACCTCCCACCCAGGAGAAGAAATGCAAGCTTACCTTTGAAAGTTCTCCAGCACAGAAAGCACCAACAAGACAGAGCAAAGAGGCAAAGCCAACCTTTGAACTGCATGTGGGAAAGTAAACCGAGGATGCATGGGGAAGGTTTTTTTTTATCCCTTCCCTGCACAGGCGCAGTGCATCCTGGGTACAGGCAGTTAGAAGAACAAATTAGCATTGCCAAACAGCCACTTTTCCCGCTCTTTTTTGAAAACATCGTTAGGTGAAACAGGGGACCCAAAATGCAATTGTTCTGTGAAGCATGGTCCCAAAATCGTTGTGCGAAAATTCCCCATAGGAAACATCGTTGTGTGAGGTGGCAAATTTTTCAGAAAAAGCCATCATTTTGTGAATTTATTGTTGTGTGAGGCACTCGTTGTGCGAGGCACCACTGTAGTATGCTGTAGAGAGCGAGGAAGGCTGGCTGCGGCACCTCCCCTCCTTGCCAAGTTGCGTGCTCGCCCGCTCTCTTTGCCTCTTGTTTTGGCAGACCCCGCCCTGCCCACAGCAGCTCACCCGCCCACGTGGACTGGCTCCTAGGCTTCCTCCAGGCTTCCAGGACCCGCCTCTATCAGCAAGGCAAGCCCGCATACACAAGGACCTGACGTTGCATTGCACTGCTTCAGGTCCTTGTAGGTATACACATCGTGGAAAATAAAATGCCTGGGGGTAATGAGGACAGTCGCGCTGCCTTGACCATCCTCATTACCCCCAGGATTTTCATTTTTACCCCAAATGGGGTAATTTACCCCTGTTTCCCGACCACTGATCTAACCCACTCACACCTGATGCTTTATGTGGCTTGAGTATTTAAATTGCTTGGTGGATCTTTTCAAATGAGGAAGGTTCAGTGAGAAAGACTTGGTGTTTGGAGCTTACTTTTTAAATTTTGCTTTAGAAAGGAGCTTGTCCATAAGTGGGGTTTAGGGATGTAGAGATACATTTGGGGGTGGGGGGAGAATTTGTTAATGTTTAACAGATGTAATCATCTGGAAAGAGTCATAGTATTTCTGTTTAATAAAAGGTAAGTCCCTGGATATCTAAGTAACACCAGTGTACTTTTGTCGTTGTGTTTTGCAAAGTAGGGACATACTAAATTTCTTCTTGTGTTTTTTTTTCAAGTTCCTGGTTTCTCTCTGAGGAGAAAGAATGATTCTTAACCCAAGAAGCTTTTTTTAATACAAGCACCAAGCCTTTACTGCATCCCAGAGTGTGCTGATGGTTATCTCTATACGAGTACAGTGGTGCCTTCCATTACGACGTTAATTCGTTCCAGCGAAATCGCTGTAGAACGAAAATGTCGTAATGTGAAAATAAAAATACCATTGAAACGCACTGAAACTCCTTCAATGCGTTCCATTGGACTGGAAACTCACCGTCCAGTGAAGATCCTCCATAGGGTGGCCATTTTCGGTGGCTGTCTCGCGAGGAATCCGTCCCAGAAAACAGCGGGAAGCCATTTTATTTACCCGGCGGCCATTTTGAAACCACCGATCAACTGGAGGAAAATCGTCGTTTTGCAAAGAATTGGTTCCCGAAGCAGGGAACCGATCATCGCCAAGCAAAAACCCCCCATTCAGACCATTGTTTTGCGATCGCAATTGCAGTCGCAAAAAGATCGTCATAATGCGGTTTTGTCGTAATGCGGGGCAATCGTAAAGCGAGGCAACACTGTAGTTCCCATCATTGGGTAACCCAGTTGTTCTTGGACTACAGTTCCCAGATGCCATTACTTCCACCTGTGCTGGCTGGAGTTTCTTGGGAGTTGCAGTCCAAGAATACCTGGGTTGTCCAAGATTGGAAACCATTGCTGTAGAGTGTAGCTGAGTTGTATACATTCCTCAATAACATTATTTTTTTTCTGATTAGAAGCCTGTTGTGATATAATATATTTAAATGGAATATAATACTAGTCAGATATAGAGATGGGATATTTGTATTCATCTCCTGGGAGAGACTAATACAAATATCACCTTTATAGGTGGCTGGGCCCTTTGGACTCACCTCTCAGAACTTGCTACTCCACTTACCACTCAGGGTATGGGGCTGTTGTCATTTGCACCACACCAATTGCAGAAGTAGCCCAACCAACGCTTCCCCACCTCCTTGCATTGCTTACCACTCAGTAGCTGAGTGGGGAGACTCTCATCATGCCTCTTTACCAGAGTGGTCAGCAGCGCAGGGAGGTGGGTAAGTGTCCATCGGGCTACTTCCACAATTGGTGCAGCACAAACAACTACAGCCACATGCACTATGGGCAGTAACTGAACTGGCCAGTTCTGAAGGGGTGGGTCCAAAGGGCCCAGCGACCTGTGGTGGTGATACTCATATTTGGTTCCCGTGGGAGATGAATACGAATAGCCCATCTCTAATCAGGAAGTCTACCTGCCAATTGTGCTACATACATGGTGTCTCTCAGGAGATTACCAGACCCCTAATGCCTTGCAGCTCCCAGAGAACTAGCTCTGCCCAGCCACTTCCCCATTTTCATGAAGATTCATCATGTCCAGTGTGCCTGTATTCCTTGACTGTATATTATTACAAGCACCTGAGAGCACTTTGATTTTGTGGGAAGTCCTGCAGACCTCAGGGAGCTGTAGTCTAGAAAATCAGAAAAAATCTCAAACCTAACCTCCATCTTGCATGCCAAATAGCACTCACACTTCACTAAATTTGTTTCAGGGTAACTAATTCAGTTTGTTTTGTATGTGCAGATTTATGAGTATCTATTCATAAATATTTCAATGATTAATAACAAGTATAGATCACTGGATCAAGTGTCCTTTCTCTTAAGCCATCAACAGCTTTACTTCTGAGTAACTGTATGAGGGAACAAGCAATTTGCAGTCAGCGTACACTTGTTTTTCTTCTTAGTTGAATTTTGTCAGTAGCAGCAAACCATCTGAAATTGTGCATCATTGTTCTGTCCTATTCAGTGTCCTGAGAATGAAATGCATCTTCTAATGCTACTGCAGCTACATGGTTAAAAGGACTTTGCTATATTACACACAATATGTTGGAATTAGTGTATGTGAAACATAAGGCAAGGTGTTTTTCCTTTAATCCTGATGTTGATGGCTTACTAATTCAAGCACATTCTCTTCTGAAGAAAACATTGCATAATTATTTACTAATTTTTACTGTGTTGCAATGGTAAGCTTTGTTCCCATCTTTAGAAAGCTTTCAAGTTTATAGCAATGCCTAAAGCATTTGCAAATAGAATTATGCTATCAAACATATTTGAAACAAATTTTGCAGAAAAGTTTGGATCAAATATGACATGAAAGGATATAAACATAGTTTAGATTTTTTTTATTGAATATAATTTTATTAAACAAGCTATGTCCTAATCATTAAACTATTATATCTAATTAACAGCTTCTTGCACATGTTTCTTATGCATTGTTTTTCAGAACCTTTTCTCTCTTTTCAGACCTGTATGTGGAATCAGAGGGAAAACTCTTATAATTAACCTTCCAGGTAGCAAGAAAGGGTCACAGGTAAGCAATGTTCTGGAAGAGAAAAATAAAATATTTGTTATGAGTCTGAGAAAGATAACTATTTTTGTTTATTTTATTTTTCCTTCTGGGACTGGTGAATGGTAACTAATGAAATGACAAGCAGATAGCCAGCATTGCCATAAATATATAATATTAAACATAGTGGCCAGAAGAAGCCACTGTGTCTGGTTTTTTTTTTAACTTTAGCTTTTGTTGCGGAGTTTTAAACTACCTAAGTCCAGCTCTTAGTCACTCACCTCAGTTCTATGATAAAATAAATAGGGGAGGTTGTTCTTCGTGGGCATCACCCGTGTGTATATGGAATAGACTGCTAGAGTAAGGCTCATAATTCAGCTTACGTTTCTGAATTTATATGAAATGTGTCAAAATCAAACTCTTGATAAATGAAATGAAGTTTTATTATGTGTGACCCTTTTTTTTTACATCTGAAATGTCAAGTGCAAGGAGCTATACTTCAGTGTTAGGACTGCATCATGCTGGGATGTAGCCTGCCTAGAGTGGTCTTATAGGCCAGATGTGCAGGGTATAAATCAAATAAATAAATAAATAAATAAATAAATAAATAAATAAATAAATAAATAAATAAATAAATAAATAAATAAATTTTGTCTCACATTAGCTAGATCACTGGTTCTTAACCTTGGGTTACTCAGGAGTTTTGGACTGCAACTCCCAGAAGCCTTCACCACCAGCTGTCCTGACTGGGGTTTCTGGGAGTTGCAGTTCAAAAGCATCCGAGTAACAAAGGTTAAGAACCACTGAGCTAGATCACCGAACAAGAGACAGAATGGAGACAGGCCAAGGCCCATAGAGTTACTATCTGCTATAATAAGAAGTCAAAAAAGAAGTTGAGGAGAAAATGAGATCAAGCATTTTATTGGACTATGAAAATAGGCATAGTCCAGTAAAACTGTCTCAGAACAACAGCTTTGGTCCTCTGAGCCCATATCACTGGTCTTGTAGTTGTTTTGTTGTTTAGTCGTTAAATCGTGTCCGACTCTTTGCGACCTCATGGACCAGAGCACGCCAGGCCGTCCTGTCTTCCACTGCCTCCCGGAGTTGGGTCAAATTCATGTTGGTAGCTTCAGTGACAATGTCCAACCATCTTGTCCTCTGTCGTCCCCTTTTCCTCTGGCCCTCTCACTTTCCCAACATCAAGGTCTTTCTTCTCCAGAGAGTCTTCTTTTGTCATGAGATGGCCAAGGTATTGACCATAGTGGACCTTTGTCGCTAATGACACCCATCAACCACAGTGACAGATAATCTCTTCTCCTTAGCACAAAAATACACCCACAACAAGACACACTAGTCACCCATCTACAGAAAAAGACAAAAGCCTATCTCACAGCCATAAATACTGCACTCCCAAGCCAACTACTCCAGAGCACAGAGTGCTGTCCTCTGAAGATGCCGGCCACAGAGACTGGGGAAACGTTAGGAAGAACAACCTTCAGAACACAGCCAAAGAGCCCGAAAAACCCACAACAACCATTAGATCCCAGCCGTGAAAGCCTTCGCAAATACTTTCTGGTATAATTCCTCTGTGTAGTATTGTCTCCTCTTCTTGATGTCTTCTTCTGTGAGGTCCCTACCATTTTTGTCCTTTATCATGTGCATCTTTGCACGAAAGGTTCCTTTAATATCTCCAATTTTCTTGAACAGATCTCTGGTTTTTCCCTTTATTTTCCTCTATATTTTTGCACTGTTCATTTTAGAAGGCCCTCTTTTCCCTCTGCTATTCTTTGGAAGTCTGCATTCCATTTTCTATAACGTTCCCTATCTCCCTTACATTTCCCCCCTTCTCTGCTATTTGTAAGGCCTTGTTGGAGAGCCACTTTGTTTTCTTGCCTTTCCATTTCTTTGGGATGGTTTTTGTTGCTGCCTCCTGTACAATGTTACGAGCCTCCATCCATAGTTCTTCAGGCACTCTGTCCACCAAATCGAGTTCCTTAAATCTGTTCCTCACTTCCACTGTGTATTCGTAAGGGATTTGGTTTAGATTCTAGCTGACTAGCCCTGTGGTTTTTCCTACTTTCTTCAGTTTAAGCTTGAGTTTTGCTATAAGAAGCTGATGATCAGAGCCACAATCAGCTCCAGGTCTTGTTTTTGTTGACTGTATAGAGCTTCTCCATCTTTGGCTGCAGAGAACATAATCTTTTTTCAGTATTGCCCATCCAGTGATGTCTATGTGTAGACATCACTGTGTCTTGTGTTGTTGGAAAAGAGTGTTTGTGATGACCAGCTTGTTCTTTTGACAAAGCTCTATTAGCCTTTGCCCTGCTTTGTTTTGAACTCCAAGTCCAAACTTACCTGTTGTTCCTTTTATCTCTTGACTCCCTACTTTAGCATTCTAGTCCCCTGTAAGTCTCCATAGAATTGGTCGATTTCAGTCTCCCCAGCACTGGTGGTTGGTGCATAAACTTGGATTACTGTGATGTTGAAAGGTCTGCCTTGGATTTGTATTGAAATCATTCTATCATTGTTGAGATTGTATCCCATTGTCAGCTTCTTGCTGTTTAATGTGCAGAGTTCTCTGATTGAAGAAAAACAAACACACTCTTCTTCTACAAAAAGACATGTGTATTAACAAAAATATATACAAATATACGAAGTAGCAGACCTTTGGCGTGGCAGCAAAAATAGAGGATAGTAGCATAGAGGAAGAAGGAGAAACATTCATATTCACAATGTTCCCTTATATACAGTTGAACTGATGCTTCTGTCCAATCACTTCAAGTGTTGCATTATCATCCTTTCCATGGGTGTTGCATCATCCACAGATGTTGCATCTTCTTCTTCTTAGTCACTGTGACTCAGCACTTACACAGGTGATCATCATGGCAGTTCATTAATGTTACAGTCTGGACCTGTTCAGGCCTACAGTATAAAATTCTCAATACTTTGACACCCCTCCTGATTTTATACCTGAACAGAACATAATCCCATTTCTTTAATTACAGTGGTGCCTCTCTTAGCGACGTTAATCCGTGCAGGAAAAAACGTTGCTAAGCGATTTCATCGCTAAACGGAATTAAAAAGCCCATAGAAACGCATTAAAACACCATTAATGCGTTCCTATGGGCTTCAAAACTAACCTTAAGCGAAAATCCTCCATAGGGGCAGCCATTTTCAGTGCCTCTAAAGCGAGAACACACAGCGGTTGGCCATTTTGAAACCGACGATCAGCTCACCGAAAATGGGGGCTTTGCGATGATCGCTTCCCCGCGATCATCACAAAGTGAATTTTCCCCATAGGGACCATTGCTAAGCGATCGCTTAAACTCCATCGCTAAGCAATTTCGTCGCTCAACGGAGCAATCGCTAAGCGAGGCACCACTGTATTTCACCATGCTTTTGAGTATTCACAGGTTTTGTTAAGATATCTGCTACATTTTCCTCTGTCTTACAATATTCCAGTTCAATTAGTTTCTCTTTTATTGCTTCTCTTACATTGTGGTATTTGATATCCACATGTTTGCTTCTATTCTTTACTCTTTCTGTTAAAGCCATATGTATGCACGTGGTATTATCTTCCAAAACTTTTATTGCACCACATGTCTCTATTTTCAAATCTTTTACTAATTGTTTATACCAAATCAATTCCGAACATAGTTCTGATAAGACTGCAAATTCTGCTTCTGCAGTTGAGGTAGCTACAGAATTTTGTTTTCTGGATTTCCAACCAACCAAATTATTTCCAAACATTATCACAAAACCAGACATTGATTTTCTATCAGTTTCATCATTGGCCCAATCGCTATCAACAAAAGCAGTTAATTTTAAATCCTCTGATGGTTTTATCACCAAATGATAATCACATGTTCCTTTCAGCTATCTGAAAATTCTTTTCATCCCTTGCCAATGTTTTTATGCTTAGTTTTGACACATGTCTACTTAAAATGTTTACAGAAGCTGTTATGTCTGGACGTGTCCAGTTTGTCAAATACATTAGACTTCCAATCGTAGAATGATATAATTCTTGATCTTCAAAATCTTTACTATTTTCATCACTTTTCTGAAAATCTACAATCAAAGGAATATTTACACTTTTACATTCTTGCATGCAATATTTCTCTAATATTTGTTTAATTTTCAACTCCTGACTTAATACAAAACCTTGATTTGTTTTCTGTATTTGTACTCCTAAATAATTTTGTATTGGTCCTAAACTTTTCAATTTAAACTCCTTTTTAAATTGTCTTTCAAACAGTTCCACTTGTTTCTGACTTTTAGTCATAAAGCATATATCATCCACATATGCTAATAACACATTCAATTCTTTTCCATTTTCTTTAATGTAAAGACAAGGATCTGGCAGACTGTTTTTGTATCCCATCTTTACCAAAACTGTATGTAAACAAAGATTCCAATTTCGAGCTGATTATCTCAGCCCGTAAATGGCCTTGTTTAATCTGTAAACCAACTCTGGTTTTGAACCCTCAAAACCTGGTGCCTTAGCCATATATAATTCTTCCTTCAAATCAGCGTTCAGATATGCAGTGGTGATGTCGTAATGGTAAATTAAATAATTTCTTGTAGCTGCTAAAGCTAATGCCACTCTCATTGTCTCAGCCCTCACTGTGGGAGAAAAAACTTCATCATAATGAATACTTTTCTTCTGTGTAAAACCCTTATAAAACCACTAATCTTGCCTTATATTTGAAATTTCCATCATTTTATAACTTTCTTTTAAATACCCATTTGCTACCTATTACTTTATGTTCTGCAGGTAATTTGATCTCAGTAAATACTTTGTGTTCTTCCATGGCATCTTGCCACTTTCTTCTTTCTAAATCAGGAAGTGCCATCACTTCCTCATAATTCCTAGGTTCCTGGTACACATAGGAAACTAACTTCCCCCACTCCAAACCTTTTGGGTGGAACTCCCTTGTTTGCCCTCTCTGATCTCCTAGGACCTTGTGGCTCTGGTTCTTTCCCTAATTCACTACCTTGTTCATCTTCCTCTTCTTCATCATCAT